AGTTGGGGATGAGGTTTTGATGTTGGTGTGCTGTGCCTTTTTTTCTCCACACATAGTGTTGTGTGTTCTTCCCAAACAACTCAATCTTGGTTTCATCTGTCCACAGTATATTTTGCCAGTAGTGCTGTGGAACATCCAGGTGCTCTTTTGCAAACTTCAAACGTGCTGCAATATTCTTTTTTGGGCAGCAATGGCTTCCTCCGTGGTGTCCTCCCATGTACTCCATTCTTGTTTAATGTTTTCCTTATTGTAGATGTGTCAACAAAAATGTTAGCATGTGCCAGAGATTTCTGTAGATCTTTAGCTGACACTCTGGGATTCTTCTTTACCTCATGCAGCATTCTGCGCTGTGCTCTTGCAGTCATTTTTACAGGACGACCACGCCTAGGGAGAGTAGCAACAGTGCTAAACTTTCTCCATTTGTAGACAGTCTGTCTTACCGTGGACACATGAACATCAAGGCTTTTGGAGATACTTTTGTAACCCTTTCCAGCTTCATGCAAGTCAACAATTCTTGATCGTAGGTCTTCTGAGAGCTCTTTTCTGCGAGGCATGGTTCACATCAGACAGTGCTTCTTGAAACAAGTAAACCCAAAACAGGTGTGTGTTTTTTAAGGGCAGGACAGCTGTCAGCAACACATCCAATATCATCACACTGATTGGAGTGAAGGTTGGCTCACTCCTGGCTCCAATTAGCTCTGGGAGAAGTCATTAAGCTAGGGCCTCACATACCTTTTCCTCCCTGCACTGTGAATGTTTACACGTTATGTGCAATTAAACCATGGCAACATCTAATGTTTGTGTAGTATTATGTTCAGCAGACTGTTCTTCTATTGTTGTGACTTAGATGACGTTCAGAGCACATTTTATGCCCAATTCATGCAAAACTCCACATAATCCCAAGGGGTTCACATACTTTTTCTTGCAACTGTAAATTAGGGGTGGGGGCATTCAGTTGTGGGTCTGGCTTAGAAAAATATGGAACCGTGCAAAGCATGCCACTCCACAAAGTGGGTGGGTGTGGTTGAAATTACACAAAAAAAAAATTGGACTTGGCTTAAAGGGGGTGCGGTTATTTTTAAATAGAGTCTGAGATTTTCTGGGGCTCCCCCCATGCAATTTTTCTCTCCACTCCAACATCCCAAAACATTGCTAGAGGTTACTGCAGTTAGTACAGGGGAGGGTCAGAGACTGCAGGTGTAGTACAGGGGTTGTCAGAGACTGCAGGTGTAGTACAGGAGAGGGTTAGAGACTGCAGGTGTAGCATAGGAGAGGGTCAGAGATTGCAGGCATAGTACAGAAGAGGGTCAGAGACTGCAGGAGTAGTACAGGAGAGGGTCAGGGACTGCAGATGTAGCACAGGAGAAGGTCAGAGACTGCAGACGTAGTATAGGAGTTGGTCAGAGACTGCAGGCGTAGTACAGGAGATGGTCATAGACTGCACACATGGGATGGTCAGAGACTGCGGACATGGCACATGGGATGGTCAGAGACTGTTGACATGGCACAAGAGATGATCAGAGAATGCAGACATGGCACAAGGGATGGTCAGAGTACAGCATGTTCCACCATAAAGATTTGTTACTCCACCACAAATATTACAGTTACTCCAACACAAATATTACAGTTGCTCCACCATATTACAGTATGCACCACAAATAATGCAGTTGCTCCACCATAAATATTACAGTTGCTCCACCACAGATATTACAGTTGCTCTACCACAAATTACAGTATGCTTCACATATATTACAGTTGCTCCACCATAAATATAACAATTACTCCAACACATATATTACAGTATGCTTTACAAATAGCACAGCACACCTCCATACCCACCAGCACATTGTTGCACCTCCAGAGCACCTTATACCCCCAGAGAAGCTCTGAACCCTCCAGCACATGTCTGAGCCCCTAGCATACCTCTGTAACCCCTCAGCACATCTTTTTAGCCCCAGAACACCTCATTCCCTTCCCCCAGCACATCTCTGAACCCCTTAGCATGCCTCTGTGCCCCCAGCACATCTCTGTACTCCCAGAAAATATCTGTACCCCACCCAGGACACTTCCATACCCCCTTGCACATCTCTGCACCCCCCTGCACAACACAGCCCCAGCACAGTTCCAAACCCTCCCACACACCTCTGCACTCCTCAGAATACTCTGTATCACCAAGTACACCTCCGTACACCCAGCAAGCCTTTGTACCCTAGTACACCTCTGCACCCCCAGCATGCCTTCGTACTCCCCAGAACTCTTCTGTACCCCCTTGTAACATATCTTCACCCTCCAGAATCCTCTGTATCCTTCCGTGTGCCTCCATACCGTCTGCACCCCCTGGCACATGTATTACGCTACACAACTCTGCTCCCCCCAGCATACCTCTTCATCTCCCCACACACTTCTGCATCTCCCAGCAAGCCTCTGCACCCCCCCCCCCCCCCCTCAGCACACCCATGTACTCCACATCTCTGCACCCCTTAAACCCCTAACACTCATCTGTACCCACATGCATATCTCTGTACACCCTCCCCCCCCCACACACACACATATCTGTAGTTTCAGAATCTTCTGTATTCCCTGACCCTCAGCACATCTCTGCAGCCTATTCAAAGTCTAGTCCAGTGTGTCCAGGATCTGCAGTCATCCCATGGCCACTCACCTCTGCTACACTATTGAGTGGCATCTGGTTGGTCTGCAGCTGCTCTGGCAGTCAGCGTGCCCAGGTCATCCGCTGCCTCCTGACATGCTCCCAGAAGTGATTGACTGAAGGTGGGCTGGCGTCATCACGCTTGGCTGGCAATGCCCCCTCACTAATACTGACCAATCATGTAGACAGAAAGCACTACCTGACTTCCTGGAGGTGGAGTACGGGAGAGATCTGTCAGTGTCTATGAAGTGTTACCTGGTAGCAACTCTCAGCTGTGACAGATTAAAATTTTTGGGATTGTACCTGGGATGAGCAACCAGCGGGACATTGGTCGGATATTTGGGACTGTTCCAGGCATTTTTTGATTGTTGGCAACTATGTATGTGTGCTATCATAGACTATTAATCATAGTCCCAAGCAATTGGCTCACAGTTGCAGTGCAGTCACATTGACTTCATTAGGTGATATCAAGCAGTGCTACCCATCAAAATAAATATTCCAAGTTAAGTTTGCAGTGGATGTGAAGCAGAGTATCTTGGCAGCAGAATGTGTACAAATCCCTCCACCTACCATGCGAGATCAGTCAGTCGGGGTTCTTTACCTCTCTTTTTCTGCCCATCTGAATGAGGCCTTAGTATTTTCTAGGCTATACACTTGGCAACTTTCTAGCAACAGGAGTGAACACTTGCCAGGGCTTATGTTTCTCTACTGACTAAACTGGTGAGGTGTCACTCTGTCTCCTGCTTGCTTGTGAGCAAGATTCTGCAACATTTGTGTCAGTGCTAATGTAGCCAGGTGCTAGGCTAAAACAATATGGACAAGAAGACATTGCCATCCATTCCTCTCTCCCTCTACTGAGACACTGATATTTTGCTGCATCATCCTCCTCTGAGTGGTGAGAATCCTGGGAGTTGTAGTTTGAAACAGCAGCCATATAATGGTTATGCTATCATGTTTACACTACAGATCCCAATATGTACTGTGCAGTAGGAAGATTGGAGAGATGATTTTTATTAAACTGCCCAGGAAAGTTCTTTCTCTTGCCCCCGAGGGAGTTACAGAGAGCACCTCAGTCTGGATATTCACCAGCTAGCAAGAGACCATACCAGCGGACATATGAGCCTGAGACTGGAAGTGAGGACACCCAAAGGCACCCGCAGCACTGCCAACATCAGAACACCTACACAGCTGCCACAGGAAGACTGTGGCTTCCCACCACTTATCGGCAGAGGCTTTTTTGGAGATACGGGGGGGGCCCTTCTAAAGCAAGAGCTCACCACACCTCCCTACACCAATCCCATGCTGAGCAGAGAATGGGCGTGTGGGGATGTATACCATGGAGGCAAATGCTCTGGATTTTCAACTGTAGGAGAGGAGAGAAAGCTGCGGGTTTTGAAATCCTGCACTGCTTTCTCTCCTCTAATTGCAGAGATAAAAGATCAGGCTAGAGGGCTTTTGATTGGTTAGCACTGTCACATGGACGTGATGACCAGTCAGAAGCCATCTAGCCTGTACTGTCATCCCTGTAAGGAGAGGAGAAAATGCCATGGGGATTTCAAATCCCCAGACCTGTGAAGCAGTTCTCTCTCCTTGCAGGGATGACAGCAACGGCTAGACAGCTTCTGATTAGTCAACACCGTCCGTGTGACGGTGCTGACCAATCTAAAGCCCTATAGCCCGAACTATCATCACTGCAAGGAGAGGAGAGAAAGCCGTTGGAATTTCAAACCCCCACAGCTTTCTCTCCTCTCCTACAGCTGAGAATCAGGAGCATCTGCCACCAAGGTATACATCCCCACACGCCCTTCTCTCCAACTCTCCTCTGCAGGAAACCTTCCTGCACTGCTCTTGTGTGACCTCTGTGACTATGCCATGACAACTCTGGGTTCACACAGGAGCAGTGGGGAAACTGAATGCAATTTGGACAGGAATCGCATTCCTGTTCAAATTGTATGTTATTCTTTGTGGTGCAATTTGCACCCATACATTTTGCATGGATGCAAATCGCACCACAAAGTGATTGAGATTTTGCACTGTAGAAGTAGTAACAGCCTGGGGGGTTTTAACTACTATTTATAAAGTGATACACTTATATACCGTAATTTTCGCTCCATAAGACGCACTTTTTTTTTCCCCCAAAAAAGGGGGGAAAATGTCAGTGCGTCTTATGGAGCGAATATAGAGCGGCCGGTCCGGTATTTCCACCGCCGCCGTGTCAGAATACCGGGCCGGCCGCTCAGCTCTGCAGTGGGACCTTACCTGTCCCTCTATCCAGCGGCGCGCTGTCTTCCCGGCTTCTGTAGTGTTCGTGACAGCCGGGTCCCAAGTGCACATGCGGAAGAAGCAGTGCTCTTTGTGAATTGTAAGGCGGTACCTGGGACACATGACAGATCCAGAAGCCGCCGGACCAATCACAAAGTGCAGCGCTTTCTCGCGCATGCGCACTGGGCATCCGACGAGCGCCCACACTACAGAAAGCCGGGAAGACAGCGCGCGGCTGGATAGAGGAACAGGTAAGATAAAAAAACTCTGCGGAAGTAAGAGCGGGTACCTGTCAAATTCAGGTACCCGCTCCCCCCCCTCCCTCCCCAAAGGTCAGCAGTCATCTCCTGTACTGTCCGCAGTCTCTGGTCATCCCTGTACTATGTCCGCAGTCTCTGGTCATACCTGTGCTGTCCGCAGTCTCTGGTCATCCCTGTACTGTCCGCAGTCTCTGGTCATCTCCTCTACTATGTCTGTAGTCCATTAGTTCAGAATTTTTTTTTCCTGTTTTCTGCCTCTAAAACCTAGGGTGCGTCTTATGGTCAGGTGCATCTTATGGAGCGAAAAATACGGTACACAAAACTGAAGGTTTCCACCATTATTATTTAAATTATTTCACACTATAGAAGTGGGAACCCGAGTGCCCGGGGTCAGTAGGGGGCCCCATGAAATGCCCCTGGTACCTTTTTATAGGCTTGGGTGTGCTTTGAGTGTGGGCAAGGACACAGGGGCCCCATGATCCCCTATAGCCCAGGGACCCCATGAGTTGTCAGTCCACCCCTGTTCCACACTATTTCTGCAATATTTTTTCAGCCACCAGGTTTAGGGATAAACTTGATCAGACCTAAACAATGTATTGCAGCTCATCTGGCTAAAGCAGAGCTATACACCAAATGTAGCCAGACTTTAGTGCAGGAAGCATAATAAGGTAAGTGGATCGAATCAACACATTTCAGATTTTATTTTTAACTCTGTTAAAAATATGCATGCAGATTAGCTGAAATCCATTTTCGTTTATCTGTAATTAAAGTAGTATATAATGATTATATTAACGTGTATGTCACAGCAAAATTAAAAAAAAAACATATTCAGTACATCTGATCTATATATGCACATTTCCCTATGCTTTATCCCTTTAAAAAAAAATGCTGCAAGTACAGGAAAATACTCATTGATCTGCCACAAATTTATTGTGATCCTAAATTCCAATTTGGGCTGACAATGCAGTAGTATACAGTATGTATAGTTCTCCTGTGCCACTGTAATCTCAACCAGCATTGTCCACCCTGCCTGCTTGTCAGGGAGCGAGGAGCCAGACACACAAGGAGGTGCAATAAAAGGTAGGCTTATTGTACAAAAACAAGACAGAGTCTATGCAAGTACAACCGCAACAGCGGATGACTGGGTAGGACAGTAGCCAGGAAGGATGGTCGCCAGACCCGGAGTCAGAAGCCAGGAAGGATGATCACCAGAGCCGGGGTCAGAAGCCAGGAAGGATGATCGCCAGAGCGGGGTCAGAAGCCAGGAAGGATGATCGCCAGAGCCGAGGTCAGAAGCCAGGAAGGATGGTCGCCAGAGCCGGGGTCAGAAGCCAGGAAGGAGTCTTGCCAAAACCGAGTCGATATCCAGGAGAGCACTGAGACACTAACAGGAGCTTGTTGCAATTCAACAGACAGGACACGAATGCAATGAGCAGCTGCAGACAGCAGGCTTAAATGTGATAAGCCACCACCTCCTGGAGGAGGAGCCGCAGAGGCTTGAAAGCATAAAGGATCCCACAATGCTTTGCAGAAACCTAAGAGGATGCCAGCACATGGAGCAGCACAAGCTTTTAGGAAAGGTAGGACCTTGACACTGCTGGACTACTGAACTCTGCCTATCCCCCACCCAGGGGTGGACTGACAATTCATGGGCCCCCGGGCAATAGGGGATCATGGGGCCCCTGTGTACTCACACACACTCAAACCACACCCAAAAAAGCCTATGAAAGGTACCAGGGGCATCTCATGGGGCCCCCTACTGACCAAGATCCCAAAATGTCAGTCCACCCTGCCCCCACTCCTCTCTGTCCCACTTTACATACCTACTTTTATTTTCATCCTCGAAAAACAATGATGCTGCCATTACTTCCAAAAGCCATTCTCACACACACTGTGTAGGGAAAGGGCTGTTGGGAGATATAAAACTTGAGGAGTGCCTACATCAATAGAAATTGACCTCCCAGAAGCTACCATCCTGCAAGAATTTTGCTAGCCTGGTAATGTCAGTTAGTACTAAAAGCTGTTTCTCACTACAAGGTAAAAGGAAAAATAATGCTGGGATATTATCTGGAGTAGAGAGAGGGTAGGGGGGGAGTAAATTTGGGTAATGCCAGGACATACACTAGCGACTTTAATCGCTTCATTATTTTTAAACCATGTACCACTTTTCAAGTACACTGGATTTCTCCTCTGTGTTCCAGGTACACCTATGGAAAACCAGTCACAGGCCTGATGAGCCTCTCTGTCTGCAAAATTCACCTTTCTCCCATTTTATGCTGATCCAACTAACAGCGGTTTTCATGATAGTGATGACAATTTAGAGGACTGCATACTCATGAAGGATGTGCAGGTGAGCAAACTTAAAGTGAGATGAAACAAGTGTGAATTGCCATAATTCATTCATATATATATATATATATATATATATATACACACACACTGTGTATATACAGTTGTGACCAAAATTATTCAACCCCCACTGAAATTGAGTGTTTTGGCCAGTTTGACATTGCTTTTGATCATTCAGTCATCTTGCTTACATTTACATTAAAGAGGCACTTGTAGGTCAGACACAAATATAACATAACAGTTATAATGAAATAACCACAAATGTCTTTTTTCTGTGCTCACAGCATTATCAGTTTTATTCAACCCCCAAGTGACATTCAATCTTAGTACTTAGTACAGCATCCTTTTACAGTTATAACAGCTTTTAAACGTGAAGCATAGCTTGACACAAGTGTCTTGCAGCGATCTACGGGTATCTTCGCCCATTCTTCATGGGCAAAGGCCTCCAGTTCAGTCACATTCTTAGGCTTGCGCACTGCAACTGCTTTCTTTAAGTCCCACCAGAGGTTCTCAATCGGATTTAAGTCTGGTGACTGCGATGGCCACTCCAAAATGTTTCCAGCCTTTCCTCTGCAACCATGCTCTAGTGGACTTGGAGGTATGCTTGGGATCATTGTCCTGTTGAAAGGTCCAACGTCTCCCAAGCCTCAGGTGTGTGACGGACTGCATCACGTTTCCATCCAATATCTCCTGGTACTGAAGAGAATTCATGGTACCTTGCACACGCTGAAGCTTCCCTGTACCTGCAGAAGCAAAACAGCCCCAAAGCATGATTGACCCTCCACCATGCTTCACAGTAGGCAAGGTGTTCTTTTCATCATAGGCCTTGTTCTTCCTCCTCCAAACATAGCGTTGATCCATGGGCCCAAACAGTTCTAATTTTGTTTCATCAGTCCACAGAACACTATCCCACAACTTTTGTGGTTTGTCCACATGGCTTTTGGCATACTGCAGTCGACTCTTCTTATTCTTTGGAGACAGCAAGGGGGTACGCCTGGGAGTTCTGGCACGGAGGCCTTCATTACGCAGTGTGTGCGTCTTATTGTCTGGGCTGAAACTTCTGTACCCACATCTGACAAATCTTTTCTCAGTTCCTCAGCAGTCACACGGGGACTTCTCTCCACTCTACGCTTCAGGTAGCGCACAGCAGTCGAAGTCAGCATCTTCTTTCTGCCACGACCAGGTAGCGTTTCAACAGTGCCCTTTGCCTTGAATTTGCGAATGATGCTTCCTAAGGTGTCTCTTGGTATGTTTAACATCTTTGCAATCTTCTTATAGCCATTTGCCCTTCCTGTGAAGAGAAATCACCTCTTTCTCTTGTCTTCCTGGACCATTCTCTTGCCTTCACCATGTTTGTAACCACACCAGTAAATGTCTAGAAGGAGCTGAGTATCACAGTCATTTTAAAGCTGCCTAATTGGTGCTTATTATGCTTGATTGCTGCTCGGTGACATCCACAGGTGTTTTCAATACCTGATGGAAAGCACCTGTATGAACCTCTGTTCTTCAGAGTGGTAGTCTTTAAGGGGTTGAATAATTGTGGCAATGAAGAAACCACATAAGAACCATTTACTACTGTATTACATAAACAATTGATGTCATTTTAGTTGCATTTTGGGTAGTTACAACGTCCTTGTAGGATTTGATTCTGAATACAATTCCAAATGTACACTATAGTCCTAAACCCCTTTACAGCATTGGGGGTTGAATAATTTTGGTCACAACTGTATATACTGTATATATACAGTTTATATATATATATATATATATACTGTATATATATATATATATGCACACATACTGTACATACACACACTGTATATAATGCCATTGTATTTATTTATTTTTTAAAAAACCTCTAAGTACTTTATTCATACAGCACTGCTGTGTGGTCACATGATCTTTCCCTATTCTTTGGCATCTGCAAGCAAAGATCCCCGGGGAGGGGGGGGGGGGTGTTCAACTACTACAATATTGGTCTATCTGCACACCCCTGATTGTTACTTTGCCAGTCACATGACTAAATAAAAACAGTTTCCGAAGATCAATTCAAATTAAATTATAAAAGATCAAAAACTGTAAATCTTTACTGAACATCAAATGTGCTTATTTGTTCATTAATATGGTGTGGGTCTCCTGCATGGTAGGGGTTGGGGAAAGATCTGGCAACCTACCCTGTAAAATAATTGCTAAGAGAATTCATGGAAGAAGTCACTTGCAAGTGACGGTCCATGCAATCGCCAAGGGTCGGATACGACTGAATGGATAGATAGATAGGTAGGTAGGTAGATAGATAGATAGTGTAGGTAAAAAATGATTGACACTTGCTTTCACTTTTCTCAGAAGGCATTGGCACCCAAGGTTCTTTTGTAACTTTGCAGGTATTCACAATTACTTTTGATATATTTAATACTGATTTATTTTAGGACTAAGCTTTTTTGTGTGTTTCTTAGTGAATGTAATCAATCCACATACTATATCCCATCCCCATAGTGTTTAGAAATAGGAGGACATGGAGAAAGGAGGGAGGGGAGTGTATAAGCCCACATGTGTGGTTCTATAGTCACTTGGCTGCACAGATAAGAAAAAGGAGGAAATTAACAGCTTAGATGGGAACTGAAATTTGAGCATGAGCAGTACAGGAAACCAGCTGGTCTACAATCTCAGCCTGCAGTGAGGACACAGAAAAGATGGGAGGGACAGCTGAAAGCAGAATCAACCAGGTATATTTCACTCTACACAAAAATATGCTTTAGTGGCTTTGTGAGCATGCACACAAGCATTTAGTGTGTTTTTCATAGTCTGGTTTTAAAGACACTTTA